TTCAACACTACCGGTCTCCTCATTAAGTGACATAATTCCTGATTCCCCGCTTCAGCATCGTGAAAGGGTTAAAAACAATTTATTTCGAAATTAAAAGAAGCAGTTTTTCGGGAGGCATGGGAGAGGGAGACATAGTTAACGTTAGGTGATTCATTAAAGCCGAGGAGTATTTCACTATCAAATATGTAAAGCATATGTCATAAAAACACTATAATAATTTTTTGTTACAATCTGCAATATCTGTTCATTTATATAGCAGGGCGAAGTTAACGCCAAAGGTAAATAGTAACTAATACCGTAATCCATCTTGCCCATTTATAAATGTCATAATTTTGTCGATTTATTGAAACCATATTTGTACAAAGTGGGTTAGCTTAGTTAATCAACAACCAGTATGAAAATCAACTGACTTTTTTAAGTGAGGAAAGGCACCCTCTTTACGCTGATTATAACCTTGAGGAGTTGTGTAAAGTTCTATCAACTCGAGTGTGAAAACAACACATTCTTTGTCACTTTTACGAGACAATGGAGGCGAGCAAGTTGAGTAATTACAATATACAATCAAAAGGAAATTAGTTTAGAAAGCTTAATTCGGGTCAGCCCTTTGCTTGTTCGAAGGAGAGAGATAGATATCGCGACGCGACCTTCGTGTGTTCGTGTACAAACGTGTGAAAGACAGGCAACGGTCTTGATTCGCTGTTGATATTGTGTGTAATCAATGTCGAAGTATACCCCCTTCGCCTACATGAAAACGTGTTAGTTTGCCTCATGTTCACTCTATTTCTTTCAGGTGGATCAGACAAGGCGCTGAGATCGATAAAAGTAGAGGTTAATCTAAACAATTAGGTGCAATTTTTGTGAAATAACTTAAGTGATGTGCACGAACCTAGCATGTTTAAATTCTTGAAATTTTAATAAGTAAAATTTTTCATACACGGCCTCATATTTATATTACTCTCAGGCTATACTCTTCGATGTTATCGTATTTCACGGTACTCTTGGAAACCTGAAGCACAGAGCATTGTGAAAGTAAATTCGCTACTGAGTCATGTTATATTCTTCATGCAGTTTTATACATGTAGCTGGGATAAACACTGTGAACTGGAAACAGGCTTTATTTAGCTTTAGCTTTACAAAACCAGTCTTGCTTTGATTTGGTGTTAACCTGACACTTATTTTAAAAGAACAAATATAGATATGTTGTATGGATTTAATAAAGTTAATTATTGTACTCCGCTTTTCAGTGTTCATCCTGGTGCTTTCATCGGGGATACCTCAGTTTGAGGTACAATTACGTTGCTAGCCTAACTCCATATAATACTGGAATATATTTAAGTACACGTTAAGCTTTGTAAAGTCTGTATCGTCACACATCATAGATACTGAATTTTGTCTTGAATGAAAAAATACCCTCAAATTATAGTTTTGTGCTCAAACCTTTCATAACTTGGCCGAGGTTTGGTATACTGTGCACTGTAGCTACTAAGACGTTCCTCAAGTTTGGTCTGCTGGGGGAAGGGGGCATTTCAATGATAAACGAGGAAGTCTACCTGTAAAAGCAGCAGCTGCGGTTTAAATGATCGCTATCTCGGTTCCTTTTTCTTTGACAGCAACAAAGAAAGTGTTTAGGGAGAAATTCACACGAAAACCCGACGTTGTTTTGTCTTCACATTTCCTCCTTTTTTTCACTCCAATTACTATCGTCAATTCATAAAACCGAGAAAGCAATTAAGTGACGGCACACTGAATATAGTCACTAGGTGCATTTCGCTGAGTGTTTACAAGATCTAGCGACACATTTTGTCGCAATGCGTTCAAGTCTGATTAATAAGGGGGTGTTTATGCTGAATCAGGGAATCTGGAGATGTGTCCCTAAATGAGGAGATTCTCGAGGACACCGGTAGTGTTGAAAGGTTTGAAGAATTTTGTCTGTAAAATGTGAAGGCAAGCTTAAATTATCATACAATGAATTGTATCATAATTGCCTTAGGTCTTCAGTGTGTGCAACAAGTGATTCGAAACGGCAAAATAAAAGCAAGGAGGGCTGTGTTTGTGTATGGGGGCGGGGGCCAGTTAGTGGTATTTGTATGTGTAGTTGGATAAAATAAAATAGTCCAGAATAGTGTACGTGCACGTTTGAGAAGTTGAACACGGAAAAGTT